TTCCTAGTTTTGTACTAAGAAGATCTGAATTTCACCACCAGCCATTCTAACATACGTTCTGCATTTCTCAGTATTTTTTCTTCTTTTGGGTGGCAGGATTTTGCCACTGAACACACCTTTCAAGAAGATCTTAAACCTTGAGTCAGTTCTAACTCCTGGTGACCCCATGTGTTACAGAGTAGAACTGAGTTCCATAAGGTTTTCTTGGCTGTAATCTTTATGGAAACAGATCTCCAGGCCTTTCTTCCACGGCACCACAGGGTGGGTTCAAACCACCAACCGTTCGTTTAGTAGTCGAATGCAAACCGCTTGTGCCACCCAGGCACCTAAGAAGTGCTTGTGGGTGCTTTACTTCTTGAGTTCTTTTGTGTTTGGAAAGGACTGGCAGTTGCCTTTATACTTGAATGACCACTTGGCTAGTTTGAGATCCTTGGGTCACACTCTTTTCCCTGCATAGTACTTACTGCAGACCATCTGTCTTTACTTTTCATTCTATTGCTTTATTATCTTGTTGTTGTGGTTCGGCAGCCCCTGATGGCCAGCACCCCTTTGCTTCCTACATTCTGAACCACTTGAGAAATAAAGCAGAAGAGTGGAAAGCTGAACCTGGAGAATGAGGCTAATACTCAAGCCCAGGATGAGACCGATGTGCCCTCCTAGCCACAGTCAGGGTTGGATTGAGGCAGGCTTTCCTCCATGGAGAGTCTGTCCATCCAAAGCTTATGGCGTGAAGGAGCAATACCACTTCCTTGCTTCCAAGGAAAGGGAGGAGAGAGGGGTGGGTCAGTACAGGCCCAGTTTTTGAACTTACTAATCAGTTGTTCCTCCACCTCCAATGTGGAAGAACAAGTGAGGGATGCAGACAGGACGTGGTGCTCCAGCCATGGGGAAGGGCCCACCAGGGTAAGGGGAGAACGTCTTCCTATCGCTTGTCTTTGCATTCTTGTTTTCTTGTATTTACATTTTTATTAAGTTCATACTGAGCACAAAGAACTCTCAGGAACTCTGCTTTTGTTTCTCAGGTTATAATTTGTTTCCGAAAAGTTTCTTCATCAGTGCAAACGGGAGCCGCGATGCCAGATGTGGCACTGAGCAGCTCTTTATGTGGCCTTAGTTACAAAGTACGGGTTCACATTAAAGTGGTGGGAAAGAAGTCAGATGGAGGGAGCTCAAGGGAGGAGTAGGAGTTGAAGAAATAAAGACAGAAGGTACAGAGTATGCCTCAGAGGAATGAGGAAACAGAGGAAGAGCAAGGGGGGTTTGTGAGAAGGCAGCAGGGTCTAGCATAGGATTTTGCAATCTAGGAGAGATGATACCCGCTTATAGGTAGAGAGAAGGAGAGACTGAAGAAGGCAAAGACAGAGGACAGGGGCCAAGAGAGCCAGAGAGACTGATCCGGGAGTGAGGCAGAGGGTTGTGCTCCAGACCCAGGAGAAGGCAACTTATGACAAAGGATGAGGACTGCCCCCCCTGGAAGTGGCCAAGGTCACCATACAGGCTCACAGGAGAGGGGGACAAGGTGCTCAGCAGTCCCACCATCTTTCAGGACAGAAGGAGGCATGGCTGTCAACAAGAAACTCAGGAGGGTCCAGCAGGAAGGGCACCAAGGTGGGTGGGGGAACGTTTAGGACCATCAGGGTGATGGTATTAAGGGTACAGAGACGTCATCAGTCATGAGAAGTAGTGTAAAGCCATCGGCTTCGGCCATGAGGAGGCCACTGGGGAGGGTAGAGAAAGTCCTGGGAGTCCAGTGGAAGAGTCTTCTGCCTCTGCTGCCTGTCCTGCGGCCATATCGCTGCTCTGGCCCCTGGCAACTCAGCTGCTGCCAGACTCCAGGAAGGCATGGCTGTTGAGGGTGAGTTGGACCAGGAACCAGGGAGGCACTCTTTATATTTTGCCTACCCATTGCCGTCAAGTCAATTCCAACTCATAGCGACCCTATAGGGCAGAGTAGAACGGCCCCATAGGGTTTCCAAGGAGTGGCTGGTAGATTCAGACTGCTGATATTTTGATTAGCAGCTGAGCCCTTAACCACTGCAACACCAGGTTTTGCCTGCAGTGGAAAGCAACTGGAGCATCTGTCAGCAATCACCATGCTTGACTTTCTTGCCTTTCTCCTGAAGATGAAAATGAGGAAACCATGCATCATTATCTAATTCTAGTCCAACACCTGTTCTATTGGAGTCCCTGGGTGGTGCAAATGGTTAGCTTGCTCAACTGCTAACCGAAAGGTAGGAAGTTTGAGTCCATCCAGTGGCACCTCAGAAGAAAGGCCTGGAAAAAAACCAGCCATTGAAAACCCTATGGAGCACAGTTCTACTCTGACACACACAGGGCCATGGAGAATTAGAGTGGACTCCACAGCAACTGTACTGATACTACTGGTACCCATTGTATTGGTGAGGAGACTGAGGCCCAAGGCAGCCCTCCGAGGTATTCAAGCACTGACTTCAAAGATCCCAGTGTTCTTTGGCCTCTGGTGCAGGACGAGTTTCTGAAATGTAGAAGCAGATGCTGCTGCAGTGACTTGGCAGGCTCCCTGCACTTCCTGGGGCTTCGCTGGGAATGTTTTGATATGCGGTGAGAGGATTCAACTGATAGAAGTGAAATGGCAAGCATCATAGTGGGCAGGGGTCTAAGATGTATTGGAAATTTCTAAGGCATGGTCACTGTTCTTTGGGTGTTTGTGTGTGCCATTCCAACTGTAAGTGTATTGGTACTGTAGGCATGACATCCACTCATCTTTTCATTTGTTTAATAAACATTTGTTAACCACATACCATGTGCTAGACCCAGTACTGAGAACTGAGGATACAAAGATGAGTAAGACATGATCCACTCTGTCCGGGAGAACTTGCAGTTTAGTGAGGAGACAAAGATGTAAAGAGACAGTAGCTGTACTGAGTGATATATTTTTGATGGGGGAGGTTTTGGGGTGCAATGGAAGTAGAGAGTGGGACCTACCTAGACCTAGGAGGGACAGCAAGGAAAGACTTCTTAAAAGAATTGATGTTTGGGCAAGTCTCAAAGGACCATTTAGTATTGGGAGGTAAACGGTAGGGGTTGGTGGGAGTGGGGTGGACAGATTGGGCCTGATAGAAGAAGGCACAGGGCAAGGACCAGAGAAAGAGGGAGGGGAAGAGCACTTATATCTAGAGAACTGCAAATAGCTCTTTATGACTGAGGTTTAGGGGAGTTGATGAAGCTGGAGAGGTAGGCAAAGGCCAGATCATGGAAGGCCTCGAATGCCATGCTCAGGAGTTTGACTTTTAGAAGTTTAGTCTAGTTGAAGTGTGGAAAATTAATTGCAGGCCAGAGGTATGAGTGCAGTTAGAATAATGAGAATGTCACTGCCACAGTCCAGGTAAAAGGTGATGATGGCTTGATCTCAGATGGTGGAGATGCCCCAGTTAATGACATGGACAGCTAGGGAGCGCTCTTCACCAACATGGGGAATTGAGTGTTGGGGAAGGGAGGCAGGGAGATGATGCCTGGGGAACATGCAAGGGAAATGCCTAGCGTGCAGTTGTGTATATAGTCTGATGCTTGGAGGGAAGCCCTGGGCTGGAGATGTAGACCAGGGCTCGTTCGCACACAGGTGATGGTTAAGGCCATGGCATGGGTGCCATCACCCAGGAAGACTGTGTGGGGTTATAAGCAGGCCCAGGACAGGTCTTAGAGGAACACCAGCACTCAAGAGGTTGGCAGAGGAGAAGGATCATGAGAAAGGTACTGAGACTGGGCAGGAACAGTCAGAGATGTAAATGAAAACCAACAGAAAATGGTGTAATAAAAACCAAGAGAAGTATTTCAAGAAGGGAGAGGGCTACCATGTTCAATTCTATGGGGAGCTTAAACTAGTTACTGTTAAGTTGACTTAGACTTATGGTGACCCCGTATGTGTCAGAGTAGAACTGCGCTCCAGAGGGTTTTCAGTGGTTGATTTTTTTGGAAGTAGATTGCGAGGCCTTTTTTCCGAGGTCCCTCTGGGTAGACTCAAACTACCAACCTTTTAGTTAGCAGCCAAGCGCGTTAACCATTTGCATCACCCAGGGACTCTGCAGGGTGGTCAAGTTGGATGCAAGCCTGAAAAGTGCCCACTGGATTTAGCAGTAGTTGATCTGGTCAAGGGCAATCTCAAAGGCATCATGACTGCAGAGGCCAGGTTTCAGTAGGGTGAGAAGTGAATGGGAAATCCTAGCATGTACTGCTCCGCAAAGCTTTCATCTCTTTCGTGTTTGCAAGAGTCTGAGACCCATGCTTTTTGGGTATTGCTGACTCTCCCCTTGCTTTGCTGAAACAACCCTTTGGCCTCTGCATGAGTCCCATTTAACCAGGGATCTGTGTTCAGCTTGTGCTGTGTCTCCAAGGTTCTCCACTTGCCAACCTCCTGTCCCTCTCACTGGGACTCCTTGGCTGCAGAGGGTGATGGAGTTCCTTGCATAGCTCTCAGTGCTCCAGAGCCTCTCTGTCTGAGGTCTCCAGGCATTTGAGTGGCACCTCGTGAGGCAGTTGTGCTGGGAGGGAGGCTACAGCATTCTGGGTCCAGGCCTCAGCTATAACAGATCTGGCCGCCCTTGCACTTTATTAACTGTGCCCCCACTCACTCCTTCTCATGCTTCCTTTACCCGTTACAAATAACCACAGAATGTCGGAGCTGGAGAAGGCCCTCGGCATCTTCAGGCCAGCCCTCGAGTAAAGGGAGGCTGTTGAGGGAGAATGGTTTGCATGCAGACTGGCCGAGGGGGTCAGGTCTGGAACCCAGGAGTTCTGACCCTGTGTAAGTCATCTAGGCAGAGACCTTTGTGGGTGGGGAGGCCCCAGAGTTTCTTCTACTTGTCCTTCCCCAAAGACCTAAACCATTAAGTATACCTCAGAGAGCCTTTCAAGGCCCAGAGATGACCAAGGGGTCCACTGATCCACCAGAAATTTCTATGGGCCTCTCTTGGAACTGGTCCTGAAGCCACCCCCCCCCCCCCCGCACATGCACACCATTGCAGGTACCGAGGCCATGTACCCAGTGTGGCCTTCTCCTGCGGCTCCACCTACGGTACCACCACCCTCAAGTACTTCCAGGACCATCGCAACGCAGCCATGGAGAAGAGCCACACTCCCTTCAGCAAAGGCGGCCATTTCCCGACCATCTTCTCCCCAAACCCCAACCTCGTGCTGAGTAACCGCTCCCACACCTGGGACCGCTGGCTGAACACTCCCAGCTACACCCGCTACAACCTGGACAGTAGCCGCTCCAAGGACCTCACACACTTCTACCAGGTGAGCTGCCCGGGGCTGCGCTGCTGCCTCCTCTGCTCCCCCACACCCTGCCATGGGAAGGGAGTAAAAATTGGGCCTCAGGGAAGACCTCGCACCCTCCAGAGTGTCCTTAATTGCTGTTTCAGAGCCCCTGAGCCTGCAGAGAACCTGGTGTGTTTGGCTAGAAGTGGGAAGAGGGCTCAGGGCTTGGTTCTCTGATTTGCTGAGCTTCCCCCACCCCAGGTGCTTCAGGGGCTCCTGTCCCTGCTCACCCCCAATGCCAGCAGAGCTGGGGGAGCTTTTGGGGTTGTTCCTTCACTCACCTTCTGCCCTGTAGCCTCTTGGCTGTATGGACCCTCATTCACTTCCTACTTGAGTGAAGGGCCTACGTGAGCAAAAGCCCCACTAAAGCCCCTACCCAGGCCCAGCTCCAGGTCTACTCGCATTGTGTTTACCCACCTGGACCTAGCACCCACCTGACATCTCCGCTCCACAGTCTCTCTGAGAGAATGCCCTGAGTCAACCTCCACCCCAAACTGGACCCAAACTGCCTTTAGGGAAGAGAGAGGACAAAGGAGGACCTGTCTACCCCCCTCCCCCCATTATTCTTGTCCTGCTTCTCTGGGGAAGAGAGAGGACAAAGGAGAGCCTGTCCACACCCCGGTTATTCCTGTCCTGGTTCTCTGGCTCTTAAAGCCCCCCCACACCACCACCACCACCAATCTGGTTCCCACACATGGTCAGCAGATTCCATGATGCAGGGGAGGACCAAGCCACAAGTGCACAGGGCTCACCCACCTTGATGGTCATAAGGACTCATCTGGAGAAGGCAGGGGAGCATCTGGAGAAGGTGGGGAGCACCTAGAGAAGGTGGGGAGCAACTGGGGAAGGTAGAGGAGCATCTGGAGAAGGTGGGGAGCATCTGGGCTCTCTGCAGATCCATTATCTGCTGTATTCCTGAAAACTCCACTCTCTCCCTCACCTCCCCTTGCAAACATTCCTCCTGCTCAGCCTGATTCCAAGAACCCAAGTGCCTCCTGGTGCCCAGGGCAGAGAACTCCTGATTAAGGTAGCTTCCCCGGGATAGAGGACCAGGCCGATGCCATCAGACTCTGAGGAGCTGCTGGGACCATCCCAGTGGAACTGGGAAGCCTTTTCCCTCCATCTGGCCTCTCACATGGACAGACAGAACCATATCTTGTCCAAGAGGAAAGGAAAGGAAGGAACAAACACACACCAAGCCCACATTGTGAGCGCGCATACCTTATCTCAGCTGGTCTCTCACCATAGCAGAGCTGGGGTGGTGGATGTCATTACCCGAGTTAGACAGGTGAAGAATGGTTAGCAGTTGGATCTGGGGCCGAGGTCTGTGGTGCCCCGAGGGCATTAGCGGTATGGCAGTACCCCTGGGTGAGCCCCCATCCCCTGTCCATGGACAGACATGGACAGCGGGTACTCGAGGGTATTCCTGCACACCAACCACCTGTCCTCTCTTCCTTGGTTGAGGTGTAGATGGTGCAGCAGCATCGGGAGCACTATCGAGACAAGACAGGCATGGTGGCCTGGGTCCCCTACTTTGTGCTGCCTCTGAAGGAGTGGGAGCGGTACCCCATTCCCACCAACCTGTGAGTGCCTGCCCTCCCTGCATCCGTGCATTGAAAGAACACGGATCCCCTGGGCACCTGCTCTCTGCCAGCCATGGCGAGGCACCCAGACTAAGCCTACAGTGCAGAGGGTGACGGTTGCAGAACAGTGGGGTCAGGGCTTCCTCGGCCTCAGGAGGGATGCCAGGAACCTGAGTGGGTGGAATCAGGAAGAGCTTTTTCCTGGCCAGATGCACTGGGAGTCTGGGAGCAAATCCCATCATCTCTGATGGCCCAAATCTGTAAGCTTCTCCCCCTAGCCAAAGAACGGCAGCCTTGCAGCTACACCATTCCCAACGCGTGAGCGGGTGCTCCCAGGCAGCCAGGAGCTACTGCCCTCTAGCGGACCTGGAGAGCACTGCAGTGAGCAGGAATCGGTGCTTCCTCCACCCTTCCCCACATCGTCCCGTCCGGACTCGGAAAATGTTCTCCTAGGGACTTGAAAATATCTTTAAAGGTCCAACTGTCCGCTTAACAAAATATGAAACTTTTTTACCGCCCGCCCCTCACTGCTTTTATCTGAGAGTTCCTTTCCGCAGGGAAGTTCCCACTGCCCGCGCTCTCGCCCTCTTGGCGCCCAGGCAGGGGCTCAACATGTCTGTGCCCTAGTGGCTGCCAGCGAGCGGCGGGCTGGCCGACCCGCAAGCCTGTGAGCGTGCGGCGGGGTGGGTGGTTGCTAGTTCCCGGGTCAGGGACCGCGGACTACCCGCAGACGGCGCGCAGGCTGTGCAGCCCGGGTGCCTCCCTCGCTGCCTCTCACCCCACACACACCCAGAAGGGGGGGTCCTGCGGTCCTGCCGAGCCCCACGGGAGGTCAGTGTACAGATCCTTCGATGTCCAATTCCATGCTGACCCCTTGCTTGCCCCGAGTTCCCTGAGCCTCGCCATCATCGCCGTTGATAAAGCAGTAACCCCTTCCATAGAGCCTAGTGTTTTTTAAAGAACCAGATTTAACTTCCTCTAAAGATTCCTCTTTGCAAGATAGGTGGGTCTGCATTATCGTCCCCCATTTACAAATAGGGAAACCAAGGCTCAGCTTCAGGTGGCACAGCCGGCTGGAGGCCGAGCCTGGAAGGGAACCCAGGTCTCCTGGTGCCAACTCCAGAACTCTGGGCTGGCCATCTTCACACCTTGGGATGGCTGTGAACCAGTCAATCCCTAGAGACAGAATGTGGGGCCTCTGCTGGGAACAGGTGTCCTCTTGAGACCATTCTGTCCAGAATCTGCACCTCCTGAGGCTGCAGGGAGCCCAGGACGCCCAGCTCTGTTCCTTCTCCAAATTGCCTGCCAGCCAGCACTGCTGCTGACCGTTTCTGGTCCCAGGCAGCTTCACCCCTCGCCGGGCAGAGGAGAACTCCAAATCTAGTTTCTCCCAAATCCTGTCTGGCCCATGGGGTTATAGGGGAGGGATGGATGGGACCTCTTGAGAGGGCTTCTGAGAGCTAACCAGGTAGTTCCTCCGACCGGCTCTGTGACCTCCGACAAGTCTCTCTCCCTCAATTCCAGCCACCACCATCATCATCATCACTATCATCATCTCTTACAGCATTTATTGTTTACCCCTTGCCCAGCACTGTGTTAAGTGTTTACTCATTACCTCATTTACTCTTTAGAACAAAGTGAACTGGGGGTACCATGTGAGTCCGTTTCACACCTGTACACTTCCGGCAGGAGCTAGCACCGACTTGCGTTCCATGTCTGTCTGACGCTCACGTCCATGCTCTTAACCACCTTCCCATTATGCAAATACAAGTTATTATCTCAAGTCCTGGCGACTCATCAGAGGTTAAGCGATTCATCAGAGGGTCTTGAACTGCTGTTTCAGAGAACCCAAGCCTGCAGGGAACCTGGTGGGTTTGGCTAGGGGAAGTGGGGAGGGGGCTCAGGGCTCGGTTCTCTGAGTCGCTGAGCTTCCCCCACCCCAGGTGCTTCAGGGGTTCCTGTCCCTGCTCACCCCAGGGGCAGATTATCCAATAGGCAAGGTAAGCACATTTTTTTTCACCACATTAAAGATTCTGCTTCTAGGTATCGCTGGCATCTGTCTCTCTCTCAATCCCACAGCACCTTCCTGTAGAATCAAGCCTCTTTTTGTGTTTACAATCTCTTACTGGGGCAGATGACCCAGTAAGCAAGGTAAGCACGGGCTTACTTGTGCTTACCCAACTAATCTGTAGTGAACAATTTCACATGGGTTTTACATATGTTCACTACAGATGATCTGGTAAGCCAGGTAAGCACCGTGCTTACCTTGCTTATCGGATAATCTGCCCCTGGCTCACTCCCAATGTCAGCAGAGCTGGAGAGACTTTTGGGATATTCCTGCACTCACCTTCTGCCCTGTAGCCTCAGGATCCACATGGACAGTAAAATGGGCATGTGGGGCTGTGGTTGGGCATCTTTTTTACCCTCCCTCCCCTGCACACTGCATAACACTGCCTCTGTCCCCACCCCCAGGCCTCCACTGAGCCCGAAGGACAAGTGGCACCTTTTAAGAGTGGCCCCTGAGAGCCTGAAGACCTACCAGACATTCCCATCGGGGAAGAGGGTCTCCCCACAAGAGCGACAAAAGAGAGACTGCTACTTTGAGTTCAGAGCATGAGACCAGGCAGCAGATACCTGAGAGCTTTGGCCTTGATCAGGTTGGCTTATTTGGAATAAAATCTTTAGCCATGACCATCCCATACTCCTCTCCTCTGGGTCCTGGGAACATTTGGCCAGAGCAGGACAGAAGAATTACTCAGCACTGTGTCTTAAGGGCCTTCTGAAAAGCTCAGCCCAAGGGGCTCAAGCCAAGAAAAGCAGTGTTCAGTGACCTGCTGGGCCCACCCACGTTCTCCCTCGAGGTGGTAGCAGATAGAACTGAGGAGTCTTAGGGTTCACTATTCTTAGTGGCAAGACACTCACATACAGAGATACCTCCCATCTGCTTCCACTGGCATAATCGAGAAGCCTGATTGTCCCATGTCTGAGATTGAAGTAAAATGGCCCCAGAACAATTGCACTGGGTGTCAGATGGAAAGCAATTCCCATTTGAGCACCAATTCTACATCACTGAGTCCACACAATAACTTTATGAGGGAGGTGTCATTATCTTTACTGATAAAGAGACTGAATGAAGCTCAGACAGGTTGAGAAAATTGCCTGAGGTCACATAGCTAGTAAGTGACACACTTAGGATTTGAACCCAGATCTCTCTGACTCCAAAGCCCCTGGTTTTCCCACTACATACCCTACTTGTGGCCCATGTGGAGACTGAAGGGCAGGGATGGTGCGGCCCTTGGGATCCTGAAGGACCCTGGGGAAGAGTGGTGCCTAAGAGAAGAAGCTGTATAAAATGCCCACTTCCACTGCATTCTGCTGATTTGGCATCTATTCCCAGGACCATTTCTAGAAGGGGGTGGAACAGAGTGACCCAGGACAGAAGCCACTCTTCAAGGACTCTCTATGTTTCAAGGGTCTCCCAGCTGGAAGTGGACACCGGGAGTGGGTTCCTCGGCCACATGCCTGGGTGGCCTGGGGAGTCCAGGCTGTCACCAGATGCTGCTTCTCCCTGCCAGGAGGCTGTCTGCCTACTGGGGCAGGGGGCTGGATGTGGTTGAAAGCCCCTAAGTAGATAAGATCTGGAAATGGGGAACTTCGTGCCTCCTGGGCTTGATCAAGCGGACTCCATCAAGCCATGGGGCCCTCCTTACCCCTGAATTGCTGAGTCAGGACCTAAAAGCAAGGGGACCACACAGCAGGGTGCACAGTGCAGGTGAGGTAGAACAGTCTTCCCCTGTATCCAGGATTTATGCACTTCCTCCCCGGACACTGTGAAGAACAGCCATGCTCCCATCAGGTGGGCATCTGACAGCTCTCAGAGACCCCTATGAGTGGCTTCTCCTGGGTCTCAGAGTCCTTGACCAGCTAGGCCCCAAAGGGTCCATGTGGTGGCTAGATTCATTCTAGGGCTTGGCTGAATAGTCAGCAGATAAGCCCTGACTGCTGGTGTCCTCCCTAAGGGCCTAGGGGTGCCAAGTAGGGCCGATATGTCTTCTCCCTTGAACAAGGACTGGGGAGCCAGGCGCCAACTGGAATGACAGCTATGTGCTCGTCTCTGTGCCGCCCTGCACTGGGAAATGCAAGGCTAGATGGGGGGAGTGGGTAGGTGGCCTGGTGAAGGGAGGGAAGGACGTGTATTTTTCCTTAGTGAACTTCATCCCATTTGGCCTGGTCCCCTGCTGTAATGCGCACTGGGACTTGAACCCTGCCCTCAGAAAGATAGGCTTGCTTGCTGTCATCGGCAAACTTAAGCCCTGGAATGAGCAGCTCTTAATAAAAAAGTATTGTATATAACATTGCATTAAAAAAATGATGAACTAATGGGGTGAGGAAAAGACTTTTTTTTTTTTTCTTTATTTAAGAAACATTATTCTAGAGTTGAGGGTGGGACAGGAACAAGGTCATACTTCTAAGCAGATTCCTCCAGTGCTTGGAGGGGCTTGAATTCCAGTGGTCTCCCTTGCCAGATCAGGTATTTGCGGCCACATCAGAATCCCCAGAAGTGAATCCGAAAGGAGCTGAAAGAAAGAATTCCATGAGCCACCTGAAGCCTGCAGTTCTAAAGGGCCTTCTTACTTCTGGGTAACAGTAGTCCCAGAGGCACCTCCTTGACCTCCTCTTTTGTCCCACTCTCTGGGCAACAGCCAGTTTGCAGCTCTCTCAAGTCTACCCAAAGCCATCTTCAAGCTTCTTTTAGCACCACCAGAATGACAAAGGACCTCAGAACCTGTGGTGCGGGAACCAATGGAAAGAAATGGAGTGACTAAAAGAGAAACTCAAGGAAGGCAGGATTACAACCAGCTTCAATTATTTGATGAGCTGCTATGGAAGAAGTGTGGTAGCCATTTTTTAGAGAGTCAGACCAAGCCACAGCCCCCTAACAGCCATGTTGGAAGGATGAGACCCTATCCCCCATACAGAGGGTTAAAGAGGGGTGGACGCTGGGCCCAAGCTGGGCCAGTTGGATTCTCTCCCCAAGGAGTTTGGTGTCAGAGCTGAGAGACTATGTAAGAGTCACTGAGGGCCATTGGAAACCCAGGAGATACAGACTTGACAGTGTTGGTAAGTCATGTTTGGCCTTGGGTCTGACAAAACAGAGATTGCTAGTTTGCGGCATGAAGCGAAGTGCAGTGGAGTCGAGAATAGAGGCAGAGAGGCTAGGCACCAATAAAGAGAAAAAGAGCTATCCTGGGTTCCTGACCTGGTGCTTTCTGAGGTCTAGCTGTCTTTTTTCTTTTTGTTTGTTAAACCATCTTGAGTGAGTACTCTTCCTTGCTATCAAAATAGCCTGAACTGTGAGACCAAGGAGCATAACAAGACCCGGAAGTAGAAGACACATGTAACCAGATGTCAGCTCTACAAGAGGAAGGGCAGTCTAGCAGCACTATTTAGTAACAGAATGGGCTACCTCCAGAGGTAGAGCATTTTCTGTAGCTGCAAGGATTGAAAAATGACTGTTAAACACGGTCAGAGAAAAATGGAGATGTCTCAATCATCTCAAGGGTGTTTGGACCAGATAGGACCATCAAGGCCCTTCCCCACTCTAAGAAGTAGAATTGCTTCTGTAGTTAAGTTTCTTTTCTATCTGAATCAAGAGTTGGAAATGCATGAGTTCTTCTCTGGGCTCCACCACCAGAATCCCCATACCAAAAAGCCAAGCCAAATCTCTTGCCATCAAGTTGATCCTGATTCATAGTGACCCTATAGGACAGAGTAGAACTGCCCCATAGGGTTTCCAAGGCTATAATCTTTACAGAAGCAGACTGTCACATCTTTCTCCTGTGGAGCAGCTAGTGGGTTCCAACCGCCTACCTTTCGGTTAGCAGCCAAGTGCTTAACCACTGCACCACCAGAGCTCCTCCAGAATCTTCATAGCCCTGTGCAAATACCCAGCTCCTAGTGACCTTGCTAGATTGTGGGTGGAGGGGAGCAGGAGAGGACCAGGCAACTCCCTGGGTCAGCCCTGGAGCCAAGTGGGCTTGGGCAAAGAGGATAGGTGTGCCGGCTGTAGAGCTGCATGAACCTGACGTTGGACCACCCATGTTGTTTGCAAAGCCTGGAATCCAGTCCTCTCCTTTGCCCTTTATTACACCATCCCCAGTCTCTTCCTAGGTTACCTGATTTCTAAGAAGGTCGAGTTTTACTGATTTCTGAAAGAACCTGCAAAGTGCTCTGGAAACTTGTGACCTCCTTGGGAAGACTGAGGTGCACCATTGGCCAAGGGAAGATGGGAGGGTCCTTCCTGCCCCGCCCCCCACACACCCCTTCCTCTCCAGAACTCCTTACTTCATGAAATCTGGAGACTTGGCCATTGCATGTTCAAACTCTGAGAAAGACAGCATGTTGTCATTGTCCAGATCAGACTCATTCAGGACCTGCCCAGTGGAGGTGGGGAAGGAGGCAGAGAGGAGCCCAGTGTCAGGACAGTGAAATGGGGGATGCAGGGGTATGTGGGGAGTCACCATATGTTGAATGGCTACCATATGCCAGGATCTCTGCCAGATGCTAACACTCATTTCCTAGAGTTCTTCTGACCCTCTGTGGAGCAAATATTCTTATCCCCATTTCACAGACCAGAAACAGAAGTTGATAAAGATGAGGTTATTTGCACTAAGGTTTGGAACCTGATGGGCTGGATCCACTCATGGGAAGATCCATCTCAGTGCCTCCAACCCAAACTTGGCAGTGAGAGCAAGGGTGCTGGGGGATATACCTGTTATGGGTTGAACTGTGTTCCCCCAAAAGATATGCTGAAGTCCTAACCCCTACACCTGTGAATGTGACCCTGTTTGGAAACAAAGTCTTTGAAGATATTATTGGTTAGGTTAACATGAGGTCATACTGGAGTAGGGTGGGTCCTAATCCTATGTAACTAGTGTCCTCATGAAAGAGGAGAAGTTACACCCAGATGGAGAGACAGAGCAAGGACGCCATATGACACCATAGCTGCAAGCCCAGGAATGCCTGGAGCTGCCAGAAGCTCAGAGAGGCGTGAGAGAGCTTGTTCTTCAGAGCCTCAGAAGAAATCAATATGACTGATACTCTGATTTGGACTTCAAACCTGTGGAACTGTGAAACAATAAATTTCAGTTCTTGTAAGCCACCCACTTTGTGTTATTTTGTTACAGCAGCTCTAGGACACTAATACATTCCCATCCCTACTGCCTGCCACCCAGTCATAGGGCTCTACACTGCAAGGGGCCCAGTCAGGTAGTGGGCAGTGATGTGCACTCATGGTTTTATCTTTGCTTCTAGTTTCTACCCAGACCAAAACACTTGAGGGTTTTCATGGTCTATGATAAGTGGAACCATGCCCTGTCTTGGGTTTGTGAGGCTGTCTTCAGGTCTTGTCACACTTTGGACCGTCACTCTGGGACATCTGGGTGTTGTATTGTGCAGGGATTGTGGTGGGGATAGTGAGTGGGGAAGGGGACATGGGGATGTGTTCATCTTATGCTAATCTTCCTCTTGGCCCCTCTTCCTGGAATGACTGCAGTTGGGGGGTGGCTCCCCTTGGAATGGGTGGGTTGGGACACACTGTGTGCGGTCCCTGGAAGGGAATCGCCATCTTGGAGCAAGGACAGGGAATTGAGGGGTGGTTGTCTCTAGCTGTGCACCTGTTCTCTTGCCCTGCCTGCCTCTCACAGAGGCCCCAAGGCATGTGTGCACCAAAGGCCAAAATACCATCTGCTTCAGGTTTGGCCCTGAGCCTGACCCATCTTCTCCCAAGATGAGCAGCCGGACATCCAGGGGGGTTGGGCGATGGCCTGCCACCCCAGCTCTCACCCATAGCCCGCAGGTACACACATGGTTCGTTAGGTCGACCAGCAAGTCCTCAGACACGTCATCACTGTTCAGCAGTCGGAGGACGATACTCTGCAGATCCTCCTCGTCAATGAAGCCGTTCTCATTAAAATCTGCACAGAGGAGCAGAGCCTGAGTTGAAGGGAGTTGAGGGCTGGACAGGAAGTGGGCTTCCTCTGCCTGAAGAGTCTGGGGGCACTAGCCAGCCAGGTCTCTGAAGGCTCCCATCAGGCTCTGGGAGGCCCCAAAGAGCCCACCTGGCCCAGCTGGGGCTGGAGCCTGTGACTCAACGAGACCTGGACAGGCCTAAGGGGCGGGGTGCTGCGGCAGCAGGGTAGACTGCAGGCACATTTGGTGCTAAATAATACAGTAAAAATGACAACAATAATAAACATGGATTGAGTGCTTACTGTGTGCCCAGACATTTTCTGAGCCCTTTACCTATTTTAAGCCATTTAGTCCTCACAGTCAACCTTTTATTATTCTCATTTTACCAAAAAGGAAACGGAGGCACAGAAGTGTTACATAATTTGCCCAAGTTCACACCACCAACAAATGGGAGGGCTGGGATTCAAACTCAAGTGGGCTGGGATTTGAACTCAGGTAGTCTGGTCTCCAAGCCTACAAGCTCAATCACCATGCTGTGATCTTCATATCAAATTCAGAAGCCAGTACGTCTTTTGGTAGCTCAGGAGCTAGGCAGCATGGAGGAGTGGAGAAGGTCAGGGTTTGAAGCCACAAGACCTGGGCACCGTCCCTGCTCCTGCCCTGTTCAGTAGCTGTGTAGCCCTGGACATGTGCCCCCACCTCCTCTATGAAATGGGGAGAGGGGTCCTTGCCCTGGAGCTTGCTCTCCAGGCTGCAGGGCAGCCCGTGCCACAGGGTGGCTGGAGTGTGGACTCTGGATCCATCCCCACAGTGGCAGGGGACAAGAGGCAAGCACCCCTCCAGCCCTGTGCAGTTCTGTCCTCCTTGTGCCCCTGAAGACCCAGAAAGTGGGTAGGAATGTGCTTCACCCCCGGCAAGATGTGGCTGTCAGAGAAAGGGTAAGGAGGAGAGAGGAAAGGGAGGCTCCATCCCACAGGGGCTTTCGCACACCTTCATTCCCTCAAACAGCCCACAGTGCTGCAGCAGCCTTGGTGTGCTCAGAGGGTGCAGGCGGCAAGAGCCACCGCGGCACTGGGTGTGGAGGCGCAGGGAGCCGTGCACTGCCGTTTCTCACTTGTGTGGGCTGGGAAGATGCTCTTGCTGACTCTCAGTGTGTCACGGCTGCTTTATTCTTTAACCTACAACCACAACCCTGTGTCCCTGATTTCCAGGACAACGCCCAGTTCCCAGCTACTGTCCCACCCATCTGGGGAGCACCTGGACCCTCGTCAGACCTCAGATCCTCCTTTTTGAGACAGAAAATACAGTTATTCCCTATGCCCCCTGAACATAGGACAGCCAGGGTCTGTTTTAGCACTATTACTACAGAGATACCGTGGAAGTATGTCAGTCATCCTTTCAGTACCCACTTTAGTCCTCAGGCACTCCTACCTCGAGGGCTTTGCAGAAGGTAGCCCCTGCCCAGAGGGTCGTCCTCCTCTGCTCCCCCTCCTCTGAGCACTGTGAAGTGCTCTGACTCTGGCCCAGGGTTCAAGACCCTCCTTGAGAGGCAGGGCCAAGATGGCAGAGTAGTCAGACCTTCTGGTGGACCCTCTTACAACAAAGACACGAAAAAACAAGTGATTCGATTATATATGGCAATCTGGGAGCCCTGAACATCAAAGGCAGAGTTGAGGAACTGGACTGAGTGGCAGGGGGAGGGAGAGACAGTTCGGAAGCAGCAAGGAGTTGCCAGACCTGAGCCAGCAAGAGCCTGAGCCCTTCAGGCCTGAGCAGCTCGTGGGTGAGCGGTGAGGCAGGCAAGCAGCTGTGCTCAGGAGGCGCATTTTCCATACCAGGAGAGACCCAGCACCAGAGAGTCTACACAGCCACCCAGAACCAGTGAGAAGCAGCCCTCGATCCAGCGATAGATAAGTAATTGTTTATGGCCTATCACGTGGATCAAAAACACCCCTCTTAGGGAAAAACCTCTCTCCCATTTACCTCCCCACTCCCTGCACTACACTGGGTCCCAGACCGGCTTCAGCAATTGCCAAGTCCCCTGGGCTGGAAGTAGGAACCGTCACACACCTGAAGCCATTCTCCCTGCCTTGGAGAGTGAAAAAACTAATGAGAAAAAAAAAAAAAAAAACCTGCTGGCTCCCCTAAGCCAGGAACCCAGGGTAGGCACAGCTCCTTTGCCTAGGCAGAGGCATAAGGGATCCCTGGACTTTGAGCACCTGTTCCCCTGCATAGACTTGTGTGGGCCCATCTCAACAGCATAGGCCCTCATTACCACAGTACGATAGGGTATATACTGGAAGTCTAAATTCAACTGTTTCAGCTGTCAAGTGGCAGGTTCTTGAAATTTGACACTGCTCTGTCCATTAAGCAGGGTCTTCACCTACCCACATCAGGGGCCTGAGGACTGGTGGCTCCACCCATGCCACCTAGCCACCTGCAATAGGGGCCCATGAATAAGAGATGTCCCCCAGTCCTTACAGCCAACAGCATTAGGTGCTCATAGTCCGGCTGCAAAACTAACCCACCTACACGCTCTAGGGAACAGGGGCACGCCTTCCTCTGGACACTCAGGGGCAGCCATCAGCCCCCTGCCTTGCTCAGAGTGTGTCCACCTGCTGCAGCTAGATGCCTGTGCCTACACCAATCACCCATGCCTGTCTAGAACTGTAAGTGAGAGCCTACACCACACACTTGGTGGCTATATACCTGGGTACTTGAGCTGAATCCATACAGAGGAGTGGGCAGACTCCTGAGCTCGCATACCTAGTAACAGATCTAACCACCTGGTGACAGGACATTAGATCTTCACAGTTGTCAATAATCAAACTAGCTGATACGAGCAGCCTATTTGGGCATATCAAAACAAAACAAGAAGCTAGGACACAGTAAGCAAACATAAAATAAATAAATATAATAACTTATTGATGGCTTGGAGACAACAGTCAATATGAAATCACATAAAGAGGCAATCCATGATGGCTTCAGCAAGCTCCCAAGATAAAGAATCTAGAAATTTTCCAGAGAAGGAAAATTTCTTGGAATTGCTGGAGGCAGAATACAAAAGATTAATATACAGAACTCTTCAAGAAATTAGGAAGGAAATTAATCAAAATGCAGGAGACGCAACAGAGGAAATTAAAAAGATTAGAGAAGAGCATAATGACAAATTTAACAGGCTGCAAGAATCCATAGAGAGACAGCAATCAGAAATTCAGAAGATTAACCAAAAAGTCAGAATTAGACAACTCAATAGAAAGTCATAGAAGCAGAATTGAGGCAACGGAAGTCAGAATTAGTGAGGCTGAAGATAAAGCACTTGACACCAACTTATCTGTGGAAAAATCAGATAAAAGGATTAAAAAAAACAAAGAAACCCTAAGAATTATGTGGGACTCTATCAAGAGGAATAACCTACAAGTGATTGGAGTACCAGAAAGTGTGTGTGTGGGGGGAGGGGATAACAGAAAATACAGAGAGAATTGTTGAAGATTTGTTGACAGAAAACTTCTCTGATGTCATGAAAGATGAGAAGATATCTATCCAAGATGCTCATCGAACCCCACATAAGGTAGATCCCAAAAGAAAGTCACCAAGACATATTATAATTAAATTTGCCAAAACCAAAGATAAAGAGAGAATTTTAAGAGCAGCTAGGGATAAACAAAAAGTCATCTACAAAGGAGAGTCAATAAGAATAAGCTCGGACTACACAGCAGAAACCATGCAGGCAAGAAGGCAATGGGATGATACATATAAAGCCTTGAAGGAAGAAAACTGCCAGCCAAGAATTACATATCCAGCAATACTGTCTCTCAAATATGATGGTGAAATTAGGGCATTTCCAGATAATCAGAAGTTTAGGGAATTTGCAAAAACCAAGTCAAAATTACAAGAAATACTAAAGGGAGTCCTCTGGTTAGAAAATCAGTAACATCAGATAAAAACCCAAGACTAGAACACAGGACAGAGCAACCAGATATCAACCCTGAAAGGAAAGTCACAAAAGTAAATCAAAGCTGAAACACTGAAAATAGGGAAACAGATGTCAATATGTAAAAGATTACAATGTTAAAACAAAAAAAAAGGGACTTAAAAAATGGAGACATAGATTTTTCATATGGAGAGGAAGTCAAGGCGATATAAAGAAATAAAAGACTGGTATAAAGTTAGAAAACTAGGGGTAATTATTATGGTAACCACAAAGGAAACTAACAATCCTACAAGTCAAAATAAAAAACTAGAAAAATATAAAGACTCAGCAAACACAAAATCAACAATAATGAAAAAGATGAAAAGAAAATACATAAAGAAAAAAGACTCAGCACAGAAAATTAAGTGGAACAAAGAAACAGTGAACAAGACACAAAAAGAGACATAAAAATGACAGCACTAAACTCATACCTATCAATAATTACACTGGGGACTAAATGCACCAATAAAGAGACAGAGAGTGGCAGACTGGATTAAAAAACACGCTCCATCTATATGCTGCCTACAAGAGACACACCTTAGACTTAAAGACACAAACAAACTAAAACTCAAAGCATGGAAAAAAACATATCAAGCAAACAACACTCAA